TAGCTTTCTTTTAATATTCGTCACGCGCTGCACTGCGCGAGAAATAAAACCATTTAATTTATAATTGAACTAACATTAGCTTTTTAAATACCAAATTCGTAACAATATTATTCCGATTAGAAATCTCAAAATGGTCGTGAAATGTAGATGCCTTTTGTGTTCAATTAAAGCAATGTTAATTTTAGATAAATCAACGTTTACACCGAGTTCCTGAGAAACTATTTTGTTAATCCTTAATATTTTAAACATTATTTGCTTTAACCCATTTAAAAGTCACCAGCTTTCTGAAAGTTAGGTTTATCCAACATCAGATCTGTAATATTATACACGATGTCTTAAGCGATTCGAAATTATAATGAAAATATCTTAAAATACTGTTTTAACTGTTTATTGCTTAAATTACTTCACATCTAGAAATAAAAACTTAAATTATTTCAAATCTAGAATACTTCAGCTATTTTTGTATATATATTAGTACTTAATGAATTTCAGTTAAGTTTCATAAGAGCTGTCAAATAATTATTTGCAATGAAAAAATAATCATAAAAATATTTATTCACGCTCATATAATAAAAGAGATTTTTAACTAAACAGATGCCGCGTATCTTGATTTCGTTACTATTCATATACTTGCAATATCTTTTTAAAAATCAATATCCCTTTTAGTTTAGAAATAAAACTTACCGTTGTTAAAAGAATAAGAGAAGAAAGAAACAACAAACAGAAAAAAAAGTTTAAGAAGACTTATTACAGAAAACGTATAAAATAACGACCCTTAAAAGATAATGGAAAGTAAAATGTGACTGAATTCAGTTTCCATTATAAGTACTGTCGGAGGGATGATATATTATGTTTGGGAGAAAAACAATAACTCGTTTTAAAATTTGCCAAGATTTGAGATAGAACTCTCATCTTAAGTGCATATTCGACGAAATATCTTCGACAGAGACATTGCATTATACCCAGCGACAATCTGCATGAGCAAGAAGCGACAAGAATCAATGTGAAATGCAAATTGTTGTAAGAGCACTTTCTCTTGACTATATGGGCCATCATTTAGAAAACTAGACACTTGATATTTCATGGATGACAACGGCATGATGTAATATTAGCTTTTTAGAAATTTTACGCGATTTCATTTCTTTTCTCACTTTATGTTTTCATGACTGAGAAGGATGCGTTGATATTTAAGTGTTGAATCCTTGCGCTCAGCTCGGCTGGAATCCTTTGCAAAGTCTATACAAGGTCAATGCAACTCTCTTTCTCTCAGAACATCTCTCGATGCATCTCCTTCAGAGCTCTTGCAAGATGGATGAAGCCTAAACCAAAACATTTTGACACATGACAGTGCATATTGATGAAAATAATTAAAATAATATATTATGAGGAGAATGCTGCGGGCATTAGTTAGTGATAACTGCTTGCGATGTGTAATGGTGCATAGAAAAGAAACCAAAGCGAGAAGAACATGTGGTACAATATGTGGAGTGGACTGGAGATGGAAGATGCGCAGGGAGCAAGTTAGCAAATAAAATAAATTATAAACGTGCGAAATTGCAATAGAAGTTCAATGCAAAAAGAATTGGGGAATGCATTAAAATAAAATGGAAATACAAAAATTCAAGCAAAACAGGAAACTTCGGGTATACATAATATGTGCAAACCTGTTATAATAATAAGAAAAAGTATTGAAGTTTATGGGTTAAAAAGAAGCCAAACAGAAATCGAAATTGAATAATAAGTGTTTGACAACATAAATAAAAATTCTTGATTAAGCGTATACAAAAATGCAGCAGCAATTCTTGAATAAATACTATATAGACATGAGGAAAGCAAGTAAGCCAGTAAGGTGTGTTACCTAATACGAAGTAAAATGGTGATAAGCACTATGTGAGAGGTTAAGTATCTGTGGTGTAATATGCGAAAAGTGTGATGAAAGAACTGAGGAGGGAACAGGAACAGAAGTAAATAATGTGAGAGGCTTGGACCACCAATCATCTGACATCTTAACTGTGTTGTTGCTGTTGAGCTGTCGAAGTTAGTGGAAGGAACTAATGCGGGATGCTTAAGGCCACTGATAGTAGACTTAATCATGTTTGAAGAGATGAGTAACATAAAGACGCAGGCTGTAGTCATCTTTACAAGAATTTCACCTCAGAAAACATGTTTTTACTCCGCTTTCTGGCAAGCGACAGTCTTAGAAAGAAATTTCCATTTTATCTGAGAATGGAGTCTTTAATATTTCCGATATAAAGATAAGATCTTTCGATGAAGAAAGCTGTTTCGTAGCCGGAAATGCAATTGCTTAAAATTTTATAATTAATTAGAATACACTTCTTACAGTTATGATAGAATCAAATCAATAAACCATTTTCCAGTTTAACGAAAACTGGCGTCCTGTGAAACTTTTCTTAGATGCAAGCAACCAAGTAGCAGTAACTATTAATTTATTTAGGAAATATTTTCATTTCTAAATAACATTATGGTTACTGCTACTCTCAAAAGCATTCCTAAGCTCTCAAAAATCCCCATAGAATCAAACACAATAACGTATTAATAAGTGAGAAGTGTATTAAAAATATAAAATAATACTATTAGAAAGACTAGTATGATAAATATACAATTTTTCTAGGACACGTATTGCTTATATTGTCATATCTTTTTTTTTACCGTGGACTTATGAAGTTCCTTGTAGGCATTTAAACTATCCCTAAAATCTAACTGCCATAAAGCTTCTTATTATCCGAAATTATTCAGCTTCTATAGTTTCATATTTGTGTAATTGTTTTTCAAGAGGTCACTGATGCCTATTGAGGTAATTTCGTTCATTAAAAGATATCACCAGCAAAAATTAATAACTTTGCATAGTTTATTAACATACTGTCATATCATGTCAGTAAATTGTCAAAAACATATTAATATTATAATGCATGCATATTTAATTTTTGTTTCAAATGGTCATAACCATTTGAACGTAAATGCATTCGTTGGAAAGGATCACTTCCTGTTCCAATGTACCTATCTCATCATCAAGAACGTTACACATGGTTGTAGCACAAGGGGCGACCGAATTACGCTAGTAAAAAATTAGAAGTTCAGCCGAAACTGCGTCGAAAAACACCACAAGTCCGAGGGCCTCTCAACCCTCCTTTCCTACCACCAAACTACGAAAGAGGACATGTGGTTCTCTAGTGTTTTAAGTATCTCCATGTCACATAGATACTAACAATCACCTCAGCCTTTTCAGATTTTTGAATCTCCGTAACCAGCAAGGCCAACTATACCGGTCATGGTAGTTTACATACATATTTTGTATAAGAAAAAGAATTATCTAATATATGGGCAAATTAATGCTTTTTGAAAGTGTATTTTCGCATTAATAGTTTTACCTATTATTACTCTGCTACGCGGTACGCATAAGGTACCATTACTCTGATACGCATTTTAGATACGCATAAGAACCGGAACTAAACGTTCCATTCAAATATAAATGAAAGATCTTGTCAGACAGAATCCCCTAAGTGTCAAAACGTGTGTTTCTTCACTCTGCAAAATAATTCTTATTTCACGTATCTTATTCTCTCTTTACCTACATATATAGTTACCTCCGAAATCGTACACGTATTTATATCTATAAAACTCAAATAAATTGACGAGAACATAATATTGTACGAATACTAATTTCGGTTTTTAAATTTTAATCGGCATTATCGAGACATTATATTGATTTTCTTAGTTGTAAAAATAATAACTTACTTAGAGAACTAACACAATTTCATTAATATGATTCACTTACGCTTTCTATCTTTTAAAGCCCTGATACAAAATTAATCATGCAAAAGACAGTTAAAAAATTAAAGCTTTCTACAAAAATCATAAAAGAGTTTCTTTTGAGGAAACTAATTAGTAATTTAGACGCAAGACTTATATTTCAATAGCAAACTATCCTAAGTTAATGAAAATACACATAATGATGACTAGTTTCGCGAGTTAATTATGCAACTAATGTAACTCTTACACCCTAAAGGTAATGCTAAGAATAAAGACCAAAAGAATACTTTGCATTAATTTTTGAAAAGCAAGCGAATCGCGAAATTATTTTTTTCGGGGGGGGGGGCTAAAAAAGGAATGTGTCTCAGACACTAGAGACTTACGAAATGAATTTTTTTCAAAAAAGGTCCCTTCTCTGTTCAAAACACTTATGAAGATCAGAGTTGCATTTAAATATCTCTTTATATGTATTTTCATTTTATAACGTCGTAGTGCATTAATGGAAGTAAAACTCACTTAACTAATCGTAAAGTTAAGTGAGTAATAAAATAAGCAAACAATAATGCTTATTTTATTACTCACTTAACTTTACGATTTTCAAATTTTAAATGATGTCTTCAAAACGGAAAATATTAATAACATTGCCATTTTTATGGCTAAATCTTTTCACGAATATTAATCTTTATAACGAAAAACAATTTTATTTTACGTTATACTTAAAATCTTCGAACCTTTAATTAGAAAATTTTACTAAAGTCTCTATTAGGATTAACAGTTTTACATTCTTACGTTATTTAAAATAGATATGATACTTTATTTTAGAAAGTAGAGAGGTTTTAAAATATGTAATGGAATAAAATATTTTATATTAAAATATGCAATTTATTCAAGTGTTCCAGCTATTATAAGGTCCACCCCCTTTTATTCCAAAAGTTCAAAAATGAGCCTAACGGAACTCCTTTCTCTTCCGCACAATATAATATAATCTATGCTGTGTATCCCGTATAAAAACGCAGGAAGTATTCATTATAGTGAAACAGCGTTGGTCAAACGTGAATTAACAAATTCGTTTTATCTTAAAATCGATTTGTCGCGATATATTTTTCAGAAATTATTTTATTATGCAAAAATATTTCAGATATTAACTCGATAAGGAAAAGAATAATCATTGCTATTTTTCTCAAAATTAATTACAAAAAGAAATAGGATGATAAAGCTTGTTTACTTACTGCAATCCAAACTACGATGTATCTCTAAGTGATCAAATATCTTACTGGTAACTATAATGAAACCTGCAAGAAAATTTTAAATAAAATGAATTTTTAATAATCAATGTAATTTAGTGCAAAAATATCATTCAAAAGTGAAACAAATATGATAAAATTTATTGAAAATAAACAAATGTTATTTTAATTAAAATGGAATAAACATAATCAAATAACATATTTTTGATATACAGTGTAAGTAATTTTATAATTATGAAATCGTGAGACATTTATATTATCAAAGTAAAATGCTACATACACAGCCAAAAATAAGTAATGGTCACATATTAACCGTAAAAATATTAACGGCATATTTTAACTGCTGAATATTTTTGTCTCATTCTTACCTGATACAAAAATTAAAACTATTTACAATTTTATTGTTTCTAATTTCGCGTGAATACGGACACCTATGTGATAATTGAATATAGGAGAAATTTTATTCTTTCGGTATCAAACAAAAACACTTTTAAAAATAAAAAAAGGAACAAAAAAAGTACTAAAGATTTTAAGGGTAGAAATACATACATGGAAATAACTAAAATAATTTCCAATAAAAATATATGTATAAATTATAATTGATGAATTTAGGTGAAAATAACCCCCCGAATAACAATTATTGGAGAAGTTAAACAACAAGAATCAGCGTAATGTTTGTAAATTTTGCAGGACTAGTTTCGAAGGTTTAAATACAGAAAAGCTCCTTCAGCTGCCTAACTGCAAAAATTTACAAACATACTCTGCTTCTTGTTGTTTAACTTCTCCAATAAGTGATGAACACTAGTGAAAAAATCAAACATTTCGGTAGTTAAGAACTTCACATAATCCAAGTTTTATATGAATCAGATAAAACATTTTTGAGCATACGTTACTCTAGAATATTGGTATAGTAATTTATTTAGAAAGGAGGAGGAGAAAAATAACAAATTGCGCATTTATATTGGAGAGAAACAGAAATAGGGGCTTTAATCCAATATGAAAATTACAAAGACCAAGCATAAGTCATTCGAATACTCACATTGAATCACTTTTGGAGAACATTTTAAAGAAGCCTTGTAAGAATTTCTTAGAAATATTATTCATATTTGACTCTTTCATATTTTATTCGCTAGCAATTATAAATAGTACTATTTCAGCAGAAAGTACAAAGTTTACTTTAAAAAAGTATTTTGGGAAATATGTTCATAAATAAAATAAAAAACAACAATTAAAAGTGTTATAACACATTAAATACATTTATTTTTCAAAACTCGAAAAGTAAAGATATTGGAATGCAACGCTTTCACTCATATAAAACCAAAATTCGCAAAAATAACAATTCGAAAGAGAAATTAGTTAAAATAATATATTCTTCACATTATTTTATAATTATTCCTATATAACAGACGAGAAATATTAAAGTCCTAAAATAAACTCAATTTGTGTCATATTCTTAAATTTATTGAAACAATGCTGAATCAAATCCTTTCGACAGTAAGTTTCTTTCTAATTTTGAAAGAAAATACGTAAAATAATAATTGTGAAAGGGGATAATATTCAAAACTCTTGAGATAAAGTTATTTAATAAAACTAAAGTATATTGCGCAAACGTTCATGATTTATGAAGAAAAACAAAAATACCACAAAACTGTGTCGTCAGTGTAAACTCTTTTCTCATAAAGCATATTGTTTAATATGAATTAAAGTTTAATGACTATGAAAGATTTCAGATTTTGTGGAGAGATCGTAATTTAAAAAACTTAAGGTCATATTTTGTCACTGGTGTTTTATTAACTTTTCAATTGTCAGAGCTAGTGAAGTGTGCTGGTATTAATTCTTCCATTTTGTTGTTAAATAGTGTTGTTGCTGTCACTGGGACGTATCTCACTTGTCTGAGAGTAACATCAAAACAAGCCCACGAATTCATCGTGGCAAGAAGTTCAAGATTGCCACTGTCGTTGGCAAGAGCCTTGAGCATCATACAGGTGACAGTACGACTTAGTAGACTTCCTTCCCCAATTTTGATGGATAGAATCCCGCCAGAGACGGGGGCGACGGTCTTCCACCCCTCTTCCCTTACCCACAACCTCTCGAGAGAACTTCTGGCTAGGAGCATATTTAGAGTGACCCCCATGCCTCGCAGACACTATATATTTACAATCATCCATGCCTCCTCCAGTATTTGAACCCTGGCTCTTTGGTATGGCAGCCAGCATCACTAACCATTATCCGGTTGAGCAAGGTTGTTAAACAGTAAACCACGTCATGTCGACCAATTTTATCAAAATAACTTGACGCGCGACACGCATCAACAAACAAGTTATAACTTCATATTCCTGTTACTACATTAATAGCATTACAGAAATTGTCGGTTTGGTTAATTAATGAAGGCGAAACATTTTAAAGTCAATGGGCAGGATGTCTTCATAGAAGACGTTCCAAATGAACCTTAACTCACTTCTGTTTTACAAATGGTAAAAATCATATATAATCCCATGAAATGAAATCGTCGGCTGGAATTTGATCTTGAATGCTCGTCAGTCTTATCCATTTGGCCAGTTGTGGATTCCGTGATGGGAATGGTAACTCATGCAGCTCATATCTTCCCTTTCAAGAGATGAGGTAATCACAAGCAACAAATTTAAAATGAAGAATAGTTCTGTATCTTCTGAAATATTAGTTTGTGGGTCTTATGTTAACAAATCCATGACAGTTTGAATTTTTTCCTTAAAATAATTGCATGTGATATCTTACATCAGTATCATTAGATTAAATAGTGTCTTGTTTTTTTTTTTTTTTTTTTTTTTTTTTTTTTTTTAAACTCTAGCTATATACACTGCAACAGATAAATCATTGAATTCTTTTCTACTAGTATAATCAGAACTATATCGTTGGTAAAAACAGCAAGAAAATGCTAATTAAACAAGTTTCTACTTTCGGTTCTTATAAGAGGCAAGACGTTTATCGTTAATGTTAGTAGAGTTATTTTTGTTTATTTAAGACAAATTTCACGATATGACTCTAAATATATCCTGTTTAGTGGATATTCTAGTGTTCACTTGCACTTTTGTTATTATTTTTATAAGTATTCTCCCCCTGCATGCCTTATTTTTAAGTACATAAGCATGTGACTGTAATCCAAAGCAACTACTACTTCGAAAAGTTTCAAATAGATGTCTGAATTACATCATCATTCATCATTTCATATCATGGGGGAAAAAGCTTATTCAAGATACTTAAAGTTTTCATATACTCCTATTTCGATACTTTATACTTTCTAGCATCTATTTGTCTCATCATTAATCTTTATTTATTTGATCATATAATAATACTTGAAGTAAAGTGCGTCTTGCTTAAAAAGCGGAATACTAAATTCAAAGAGAGCGTACCATTTCATATCGGAAAATGATGAAAAAGTAATAAACTGTTACATATGGAAAGACGATTAAAGTGGAACTGCGGATAATGCATCAAAATGTATTATCAATACTCATTTGTTATTTGGGAATTTGAATATGTAAATTTTAAAACTTAAAATGCTTACAGGCTTCAGTTCAAACCAAGCAATTTCAAAGATAATTCCGAATGAGAGTTTCAACCTGCATATCTGAACTTTGATTCTGAAAAATAAAAGTTTAACGAAATGAATTTACCATAAAGATAATTAGTATGCGATAAACATTTTTGTTTCGATTACTTAAAAATCTTATGTTATTGACAATGTAAGTTGAAATTTTTCTAAAAAGAGTACATTTTTTTTATTTATGGGAATAACAAGGGAAGAATGCAGGGCGATACCTAAAACAAGGCGCACTCTTTGTTCCGAAAAACGTTTTTTATATTTCGGTTTGGAATGTATATATAATATTTCAGGGCTTCACAAATATTTTTTATGTTTTCGATTCATGACATGTATATATAAAAATTAATTCTTCTTGAAAATGTATAAAGTTTTATTAAAATGCGAAGAAATTCTAAATTATGAACTCATGCTATTCTTTCTAATTTTTAAAAAACATACAGATAACTTCTATTCCGTGCACATTTGTTTTCTGTTTTATGTAGATAAAGATATAATACATAATAAATTGTTTTATATATTTTTAACTAAATGATTGCAATTCTTTAGATACGCGCATCAAACTCTATTACAATTAATCACTTAAGTGTAACATTTTATTATTTTTAATCTAGATATGCATGCACTTTACTTGCAAATTTTCTGTCTAACTTACTTGCAAATTTTCTGTCTAACGTAATTTGATCGGAAAATTCTACTTCGTAATTTATTGCATTTGTTTTCTAATACACTTTTATTTTACGATGACACTAAAAATTTCTTGCAATTTTTTTAGATTAAATGAATTCCATAATTAAGTTTCATTTGTGACTAATAATCGTTCTCTCTTCAGAAATACAAATGCATTTGAAATTATATTTCAGTTACACACACACAAACATATATATATAAACATACACATACACACACACCGGGTGAACCCAAAAGTCCGTTAATATGCGAAATGCAGATGCAGAGGTAAAAACTAGCACACATGCTTGAAATCTCATGGGGTTTTATTGAAAGAAAAAGTGTTAAATGGCCAACAGATGGCGCTTCATATGATAATAAAAGCAATAATTAGCGTAACAACTGATTTTCGCCAAGACTATGTTATTTATAACAAATGCTCAACATACAGGCCGTCATTCATCAACAATACCTTAGTCGAGTGACAATGTTGTGAACAGCATTATATAGCATATCTGATATCTGTAGTTATGGTAAGAAACTGCCGTCTTTTAACGTATTGTCTTTTAGGATTCCCAATGAGGTCGGACCATCTCAGCAGACTCTCGATTTCAGGTAACCCCGCAGCCAATAATCCCATGGATTGAGATCGGAGGACTTGATAGGCCAAGTATGACGGAAGTGACGGCTCAGCAAGGGATTCTCACCAAACGATGTGTGCAAGAGCCCTTTCACAAGTGTAGCAGGATGGGGTGGAGCCCCACCTAACATAAACGTCACAGTAAAGATGAAAAATATG